TTCAGCCAGGTTTCCGTGAAACACAGAGCAGCAGAGTGTGAGAAATCCTAATTTGTCCAGGAGAGCAGAAGGAGTTTGTCCGTTTTGTTGGGTAGAGAGCGAAGGTTTGCCAGATGGATGCTAGGCAACGGCATCCTGAATCCGCACTGCCTGAGCTTCACGAGCGCGCCGGCTTGCTTCCCCCGTCTGCGCGTCCTGAAGTGCTTGATCAGCGCAGCTGCTCCGCCAACTACTATGTCCAGCAAAACATCAGAATAGTCGAAAACCGGTAATATATCGGGTGATGTGTAGTGCCGAATGTCCAGCAATTCGTTTCTGGTGAAACTGATTGCAGGGATATAACTAAAGACAGGACAAACTAACAAAAACAACTGCAGAGCACGCCACGGAGGCTGCCATCATCATCGGCGCCATCTTGTCTTCTTCAGCGCTTCACTCTGAAACACGCAGTGCATCAGATTGTATTTGTCTTTGTAAACTTTCAATTTGTTCACAGGAGTGTAACGGCAAGAGTGTTTACCCTCCACTTAGTGAATGTGGTAGGGTGAAAGAAAAGTGACCATATATTACAAATGGCCACCAATACTTTGAGGAAATGTGTAATGAGTTGCTATAAGAAGATACAGTATTAAACATTTCTGTTTATCTTCATGACTGCACATTCTAGTTGGACAAAAATCATTGATAACTGTCAGCTCAAGTGCATAGTTTTGATTGGAATACATCACATACTGTCTAGTCACACAAGTTCTTTCAACACACCTGAATCTCAAATTGTTTCCAAAAAATCTTCATGGATGAATTTGTCTGTCGTTTGTCTTATAAGTCAAGTGCGATTTCATGAGCAGACCAAGCCTTGAATCCTTATCCCCATTAGATTTCACTGCTGCCGTTTTTCATGGTCTTTCATTTAGATTATCTCTCATAATCATGTACCCCCACTTAAATAATGGTGCCGTAGGACACCATCTCGTATACTCGCAGGATAAAGGTGTGGTGGGAATGTGTGTCTCTGCGGCGTCGTAGTGATTGATGGTTAGTGCTGTTCATTACCACTGAACTGAGGAGGACACAAAGGCCCACCTCCAGCTATTCTCTGTCTATGTTTAGGATGCGTCTTCTCTTACTGCATGTTGTGATGCAGGCCAGCATGCTGTCGTCTTCAAAATCGCCTCAAGCTTGCTGCCAGCATTACTAAGGAAATGGGCATCAAACAAAAATTTGATTGGTCAGTGTACCAGTAATTCATATTAGTGGTTGGTTTTCCTGAGCATTTGTCCTTTTCTCCTTCAATGTCTTTTCAGAAAGCGTTTGTCCTATTGATTGTCTCTCTCACTCCATCATTTTCTTGGTGTCTTCATGGATCATTTGTGCAGTAGTGCTGTGGCGTATGTTAATATGAGATGTGAGTAAGGTTATTGATCTGTTACGAGTGGTGGAGCCATGGATGTGCTGCGGTACATGTCTGTGATTCGAAAGATGATATTGAACTCCTATTGGCTTTACATTTGGGATGCACCGATACCACTTTTCCCAGTACTCGCCCGATACCGATACTTTTATTTTTGGTACTTGCCGATACCGAGTACCGATACCAATATTTTATTGCATTTGTACATTTTTAAAATATTGGGTACAGAAACCAAAAGAGTATGTATAATGTT